CCCCGCTTCTGGCCCTCATTCAGCCAGGAGGAGGCAGGAGAAGAGGGAGGGTAAGTTGCTTCCTCCCCGCCTCTCCCCACCCCTGCCTGCCTGGGGCCAGGGAGGGCCTTGGCGGGGCTTCCTCGCACTCCCGCCGGCCTTGCAGGTCCACCGCCGGGCCCCTGATGTCAGGGGGTGTGGCATATGCTAATGAGTTCCCCTAGCTCTTTTTCTACAAAATGACCCCTGGAAATCAGTAATTGTCATATTGATAAATCATTATATTGATACAGCAATTACCATTTTTAAAAGAAGCCACACAAAAGCTCCCAGGAGGCACAGGAGGGCACTGCAGAGTAGCTGGGGCAGGGGAAATGATGCTGGGACTGGGAAGATCCAGACTTTTCCATCCACATGGATGGCACTTTGGTTTTGCTGCTATCTATTCCAAAACATCCCAACGAAACAGATTTAGGAGAGACGGAGAAAATCTGAGCCGGCGTGATGTAGTGGTTAGGGTGTGGGACTAGGACTCAGGTTTGATTTCCCCCCCTTTGCCATGGAGGTTTGCTGGGGTAGTCACACACACCCAGACTCAGCTACCTCACAGGGTGGTTGTGAGGATAAAATGGAGAAGGGGAGAATATAATGAGCCACTTTGGGTCCCCATTGGGAGAAAAGTGGGGTATAAATGAAGTAAAATTAATATATAAGTGCTGTGGGAAGTGGGGGGGACGACGACACTTCTCAGTAGCATCCAAGTCAGGGCAACAAACTTGTGTGTAAATGATCTCAGTTCCTACCTCACAGATTAAAGTGGTAAAGTGTTGATCCTGCAGAACAAAGCGAGCAAGCTGATCACTTTAACTGAAGGAGCTAACGTTCGAAAATGAGTTTTTGAGATTGAACACTACAGTGATGTCCTGAATTTCCCATGTGTGTTGATTTCTCACCCAAGCAAGTTGCTGCTGTATATTCAACTTCGGCACTCTTTCACTTCAGGATGTATTTGCAATTATTTGGGAACCGCATATGAAAGCTGCAACAACAACAACGAATGCGAGTGTGAAAAAGAAACGGGCCAGTGCCAGTGTCTTTCCAATGTGATTGGACAGAGCTGTGACCGCTGCGCCCCGAACACATGGAAGTTAGCCAGCGCCGCAGGGTGTGAACCATGTGGCTGTGATGTGGAACGTTCCTTTGGTTCATCTTGCAATGAGGTAAGAAGTAGGCAAGATACCTTGCAGCCATAGATCACTCAGGACTGGGCTGGACTGTTTGAGAGCACCAGGACAGAAGCTTGGATTTTTACGTCCCTCTGTCCTCCCAATTACCCAGGGAAGTATACCGGTAGCAAGAGTAATCTGTATGGTTCACCTTCTCTACAGCTGAGAATACTGCCAGTTTTGCCACTGGTGTAAAAAGTAACTCTGGGCCAAGCTAGACACGACAACATCCTCATGGCCAGCACAAGGATGCCGCAGCCATTTTAAAGTCATTTTAAAATGCCCCAAGGGGCCTGATCCTACAGTGCAGCAGACTGAAGAGCTTTTATCCTTTCCCCGGACCTGTTTCAGCTCTTGAAAAGGTGTGTGGGGGTGGGAGATGAGCATCACATTGCGGGGCCCGATCAGGATCCAGCCCCTTGCAGCATTTTAAAATGAATGTAATAAGGCTGTATGCAGCTGCCCATCTGATCCAGGCACCACACTGTACTAGTTAAAGGAACAGGTGATGGTTCTAGGTTTTTGGCTGCCCCAAACACCCTCCTCTCATGCTTTCCCACCAGGTTCAAGGCAAGTTGCTAAAGGAAATCCAAGCTGGGCAGCAGAGGCACAACTCTGTGCCTGCCCCCTCACTGCCCCAGTCGATGCGGTGTCCCCAGCAAAGGAAGACCACTGACAGTAATGCTATGGGAATGCATCCATTCAGTCCCTACGCTATGGTCTGAAGTGCTGCAACCAGTGTTCCCTCTAAGCTGTGTGCATGAGCAGCCGCTCATTAACACAGGAAGCCCCACTCAGCAGCAGTCTGGAGCCACGCAGGGTCTTGCACTGCCCATTTGCCCATTTTAAGATCACAGCAGTTATATCCTGCTCAGGATGTGAACTCCTCTGCTCAGTAGAGGGGGGGGGGGAATAGAAGGAACATTGGCTGCAACCCTGCAAAAGCTGTACTGAATTGTGTGCATCCCTGAGTCTTTTCTTGAACATGTCTCTTAGTGTGGTTTGACTCATGTGCTTGAATTGCCCGTCTCTGTTTGCTTTGGCAGCATCTTTTCCGAGTTGTGCCTGCTGTCTGGAATATTGTGTTTGTGTACATTGATCAGGGAAGGTGGGTATATTGTCCTGGTAGTATACAGTTACTGTATATGGACTTTTTGAGTCTATTGATCTCCAAGTTAAAGAAAAAGTTCTGTCCTGAAGGAGGCTGAGCGATTGCATTAAGGTTACTGATGACTATCAGCCTAATCACATTTTTACCATTTCCGAAGCTACTTATCGTGCAGGGATCATCCAGATGACAAAGTATTGTAAAGGCTTAATAAAGTTTTTGCAAGAGGTTAATCTGGCAAAAGACATACTTCCTTGTTTTTTCTCCATCAACAGTTTACTGGACAGTGCCAGTGTATGCCAGGATTTGGAGGGCGCACATGTAGTGAATGCCAGGAGTTTTACTGGGGTGACCCCAGTGTGGAGTGCCAAGGTGAGCAGCTTGGTTTCATTACTTATGCTGTCTGAAGGATCTCATCCAATTGCTGAATATTTCTATCTATTATTGTGACTTCCTGCATCATCTGGAGTCTAGATAACTTGCCATAGAAAGAAACAAAGCAACGTTTATGCGAGTCCAGTTAAGATTCAAAGCTTTGAGGAACAAGAGAGAACAGGATTCTATAGCGCATTCAGCAGCCTCTTTGTTCCCAGCGTTGCGATATTTGTAGCTACAGTACTTAACAGTGAAACTCACTGATCTTGGCTGGTTTTTCTGAAGCGCTATTTTAGTGGAACTGAATTTAATTTTGGTCTAGCGGGTTACGAAGTAGGTTGTTGAAGCTGTGTAACAAATGATAGCTTGATTGAGCCATTTCAAAGCACACACAGATATAAAATGATTAAAATTAGAGATGCAAGCGCTACAGCCACAACCCAGATTTATTTATTTATTTATTTATTATTTGTATTTATACCCCGCCCTCCCCGGAGGCTCAGGGCGGCTAACAACATATAATTAATAAAACAGTAAAACAGTAGAAAAAATATAAAATATTAAAATTACATCATAATGTATAACCTATCTAAAACAGATCTAGCTAAAACCAAGATGGCGGTCCTCTAAGCGTCCCAGTCTTGCCCATAATGCAAAAGAGAGTATTTAGGGCCTTGGCAGTCCATGCCCATATCCAGATTAGCACCAGCTATCCAGTATCCCAGTGATACGCAGTAGCTTGGGAATTGCATGTGATTCTGTGGCGTGTCACTTGTGGCTCTTTTGAGCACTGTTCCCTAATGTGGCACCAGCCCCATGTTCCAGCAAATGGGCAAGGCCCTTGGCCAGTGGGACTTGTGTTTGGCAGATGGTTTCCACCTTGGAACAGCTGCTGCTGGAGGAACGGGTAAACTGCAAGATTCACTGAGGTTGCAGGCCTCATGCCAGGGATGAAAGTAGATGTGGCTCTTTTGGTTGATGCTGTTGTCAGTGTGGTTCTCCAGGACCCACAGTGTGAGCGCCACTGCAGTAGCCTGAAGGAAAATGTTTAATAAATGTTCCCAAAGATCCCTGTGATAGTACCTTTAAGGGCAGGTGACACTTCTTTGCTACAAGGTGTATATTCACCATTTTGCATGAACATCCAGTGTCATACATAGGGTAATATTTGTGAACTGCTCTATGTGGCGGTAGAAGAAAATGTCATTAATGACAGGTGACAAACTTGCATAGACTTTCTAGGGTTGGCAAGAATGACTAACCTGCATTGTTGTAGAAAGGTGGTTGTAGAAATCTTGGATAGAGTATGCCAGTTTATAATTTTAGAATGCCAGATGACAGAGGCTGTGCATGATGTCCCTGTACACTGCCCCAGTGTTAATATGTAATAGGCAGTGGAAGTGGGAGGGTAGATACTGTAAGAAAATACTGTAAGGAAGGAGATACTGTAAGGAAAGAGCATTAATGTTTTAAGCATGTTTGTACTCTGAGTAAAAAATTAATCATTAATGGGGTTTGCCTGTATCCTTTATAAAGTTCATATCTCTGGTACCTGGCATTACATTCTATGGTACACATGGCCTGGACCAGCAAAGTGACATTTATTTCAGATCTGGCTCTCTTAACAAATGAGTTTGACATCTGTGGTCTAACCCATAGCGGACTTGCTGTCTGGTAAAGAGGTGATTAAATGTCTTCTTCCAGGAATTTATTACTTAAAATTGTCATTTGCAGCCTTGGCAATACTCTTCTGAGGTTAGTAAAGGCATATGAGGATGACATATCCTCCAGTATTTTACATGTCAAAATCGGGGCACTCCTGCGTATATATAATATCCCCTGGTATTCTCACACAAAAGATTCTCGGTTTCCCTCCACACCATGAATCCTATTACAAATTTGAATCTTCTTCATTCACTCATTTATCTGTATTTGTCTTTCTTGCATTGACTTTTTAAATTTCATTTATACCCTGCCTTTCTTCCCAGTGGGCACCCAAAACAACCTACATCATTCTCCTCTCCTCCAGTTTATCCTCATTACAACCCTGTGTGGTAGGTTAGGCTGGGAGTGTGTGATTGGCCCAAGGTCACCTAGCAAACTTCTGTGGCAGAGAGGGGATTCTAACTGTAATTTCCCAGATCCCAGTTTGACATTCTAAAAGGATCTGTTGAACTAGGTGCTAGTAAACTGACAACAGGTTTTCTTTTTAAAAAGCAAACTAGATTTTAATCAAATGTATAATCCAACAATGCATACAGAATTTTATAGAATATTCTGTATGCAAGAAACTTGTGGAGCAGCTATCCCATTGCAACTTTGCTTCCTCCTTTCTCACCCTACCTCACTCACACTTTCTCCCTTCTGCCACCCCTTTCTCTCTCTCTCTCCTCCATGCATCTCACTTCCTCTCTCTTTCTGCCCCCTCATCACTTGTTTTGTTTTTCTGCCTTCCTACCTCATCTCTCTTTCTGCCCCCCCATTCCATCACTCTCTCTTTCTGCTTCCATCACTCTCCCAGCCACCCACTTGCTTCACCACCACCCCTAGCAGTGGCGGCGGCAGCAGCTCTCCATGAATTACAATGGATCTCCCAGCTACAAAGATTAATTCCCCTTAATTTCCAGCTCCAGGTTGAGAAATCCCTGGAGATTTGGGGGTGGAGCCTTGTGACAGTGAGGCTTGTGGAGGGAAGCAACCTCAGCAGGGTATAATGCCATAGACTCCACCCTCCAAAGCAGCCATTTTCTTAACAGCCAGCCAACCTTTATCTGCGTCTCTGTCTTCAGCTTTCTGTCTTCACCCCCCTCCCCCACAGCCTCTACCTAGGAAAATTACAATCTTTCTCCACAGTGGGGACCAAAGTAGCTTACATTATCCTCTCTTTCTTTTTATCTGCACAACAATCCTGTGGGGTTGATTAGGCTGAAAGTGTGTGACTGGTCCAAAATCACCCAGTCAGCTTCCACTACAAGATGGGGATCTGAACCTGGGTCTTACAGACCCTACTTTGAAGCTCTTAACTGCTGCACCACACTGGCTTTCATAGGGTGGCTGCTGAACAACAGCAAGTAACCAGGCCTAGTTGAGTCATGCCTGTCAGGTGGCATCAAGTCACTCAAGGTGCTGCCAGGCCTAGGGTTGCCAACCTCCAGGGGGGACCTGGAGATCTCCCCAGAATTAAAGTTAGACATCTGTCCTCCTAGAGAAAATGGCTACTTTGGAGGGTGGGCTCTATGGCATTATACGATGCTGAGGCCTCTCCTCTCCCCAAACCCTGCACTCCTCAGACTCCACTACAAAATTTCTAGGTGTTTCTGAACCTGGAGCTGGCAACCCTTCCCAGGCCTGGCCCCAACAATCCCACCCTCAAAGGCCAAAATAGGTTGCCAGCTCCAGGTTTGGAAATTCCTGGAGCTATGGGGATGGAGCCTTGGAAGGGGAGGTGATGGACGTAGCAGGGTATAATGTCATAAAGTCCACCCTCCAAAGCAGCTATTTTCTCAAGGGGAACTGATCTCTGTAGTCTGGCGATCGGCTATAATTCTAGGAGATCTCCAGGCCCTACCAGGAGGCTGGCACCTCTAGCCTCCGCTTTTGGTTCCACCCCTTCCACTTCCAGCTTTCCTTTTTTTTAACCTTTCCTGCTTTCCCCCCCTCCAGCTTTACCTTTCCCCCTTCCTATATTTTACCTGTTTAGTCTGCCTCGGTTCTGCCTCCCCATCAGGGAAATCTCATAAATATACTTCAAAATATGGAATATTATTTTGTATTTCTTCTGAAATAATCCGCAGTAAGACAATTTTAGATATTCTATATCTGTTAAAGTAGGTTAAGTGGTTTGAATAACTGTTGAAATTGTTGTAACATGTTTAATGTTCAACAGATGAATGCTTTCTCTTGAAATCAGGAAGGTGCCTTAAAGAGTAATACTATGTAAATATGTGGGTTATTTTTAGACATCATGGCTAGGCAAACAAATAATGGAACTTAATCTGAAAAGCTGGAGCGTATCTACAGTTTAGTACTAGAGATTTTGTTTTCTTCAGTAATTCTTTTTAGAAGTAAAAGGTTTATAAGGAAGAAACATCCCCAATTATTAGATAGTTCAAAGCCCATGTACTGGGGTGGCACCTGGAGATCTCCTGCTATTACAGTTGATCTTCAGACAAACAAGGACACTTCCCCTGGAGAAAATGTCTGCTTTGGAGGATGAGCTCTAAGGCATTATATCCTGATGAGGTCCCTCCCCCTCTCCAAACCCCACTCTTCTCAGGCTCCACCCCCCAAATTTCCAGGTATCTCCTGACTAGGGTTGCCAAGTCCGAATCTCGCCACAGCAGGGGACTCCCGGCTGGTGGCTAGAGCGGGCGTCCGCGCGCCGCATCCACATCACTCAGAAGTGACGCGACCACTCAAAAGACAAAAGACAAGAGTCTTTCGAGTTTTCCCTCGGATGACCGTGGCCCCGCCCCCAGCGTGCCCGGCGTGGTCGCGTCACTTCCGGGTGACGTGCATGTCGGGGTGGGGTTCCACCCGGTGCCCGATCCGCCGGCGGTGGGGAACGGGCCTCTGGGGCGGGGGTTGGGAAGCCTACTCCTGACCCAGATCTGGCGACCCTACTTCGTACAGATTTGTGTTGTAGTATTTCCTTCCCCTTATGCAACATTAGGGTAAAGTCCATTAAAAAGCAGCCATGATCACAAAGCATTATATATACACCGACAATTTATGTAAAATTCAAAAGTGACTCAGTTCATATTCACAGTATTAGTAACAAAATCCTCCATTTTGTCTTTTGAATAGGATTACTTTTTATGTGAGTACTTAGAACTGTATATAAAAATGGAGTGGATATAATTACATGAAAGGGCACAAAACGTTCTTTTTGGCACCATACAGATAAGGAATTAGTTGGAATACAGAACAATGTTGTGTGTAGCTGATAGCCCTGGAATCAGATCAGAATGCTTTATCTGTAAGCAAAACTGACTTTG